CACGGGGGCGGGGCTCCTTCCCCGCCCGGGGGCCTCTTTCCCGCCTGGGAGGGAGCCTGGGTTTGTGGACTCGCACTCAATAGTAGCCACTTCCAACAGGTGGGCGGGCAAGGACCGGGTAGCCAGGAGCCCACGGCGAGCTGGGGGGGAAGTGGAGGCGCCCAGCGTCACAGCCCACATCTTCCCACACCAGCCTGTGGAAGTCTCCCCCGGGTTCAGGGGCTCAGAGAACTTTACAGGAAACCGCTAACCGGGTGCCGAGCTCGGAGGTGTAGCGGCTGCGGCTGTGGCCTGGGGACCCATCAGGTCAGTGTCCCGCTCATTGAAAGAGGCTGTGCTCCGCGGATTGCCCGGGGACCCCAGGCTTGGGACGCCAGTCCTCACACCCTAACAGCTCCAACCCGGGGGGCGGGCTCGCAGTCCAGCCCCCAAGCCCTGGTCCTTCAGCGGTTCTCAACCTGTGACTCGCGACCCCTTTGGGGGTTGAACGACCCTTTCACAGGGGTCGCCTAAGACCATCGGAAAACACATATATAATTACATATTGTTTTGTGATTAATCACTATGCTTTAATTATGTTCAATTTGTAACAATGAAATTGGGGGTCACCACACCATGAGGAACTGTATTAAAGGGTCGCGGCATTAGGAAGGTTGAGAATCACTGATAGTGGCTCACTAGGGCTCTGTTCCCCGAGGCTGTGCTGCCCGGGAGTGATTCTGGTCCACTTGGTTTGTCTTAAAAAATATATCTTTTGTAAAAATTGATTTTAGAGAGAGAGAGGACGAGAGATATTGATTTGCATTGATTTGCTGTTCCACTCAGTTCTGCTTTCACTGTTTGATTCCCCCCCCCCCCCCCCCCCCCCCCCCCATCTTGTATGTGCCCTGATGGGGGATGGAACCCAAAACGTTGGGGTAAGAGGAAGCTCTAACCAACTGAGCTACGGGCCAAGGCTCTGGTCCACTTTTGCACATGACTGTCTAGGAGCCAGAAGGAATCCTTAGGACTGGGGTGTAGGGAGGGGATGCTGGGCGGCGGGACCTCTGCTTGGCTCCTGCGGGTTCATCTGCACCCATCCTGACCTCAGAGCGGAGTCTCTAGGAGGAAGTGGGTGCGGTGCTCAGGGGAAAGGAGGCGAGGCCTTGCTGCCTCGGTGGGGAAACTGAAACTGATTCCGCTGAAGTCTGCGTGGAGGCGCGATCCCTGTGGCCCGAAGAGGAGGGAAGATGAGCAGCTAAGAACAGCTGTCAGAAGTGTTCTTTTTAGAAACTTGTTTTTGATTTATTTCTACAACTTTCCTTGGATTTCTACCTAGATATTATGTCTGAAAATAATGATAATTTGGTCTCAGTCTTATAAATTTTCTTTCTTTTCTTATCCTATTGTATTGTTAGGGCCTCCAATATAGTTTTTTTTCTTATCTTTATTGTTGAGAGTATTACAGACACCACACAACACTCTTCACCACACAACACTCTTCACCACACAACACTCTTCACCACACAACACTCTTCACCACACAACACTCTTCACCACACAACACTCTTCACCACACAACACTCTTCAACTGATTTAAGTAAGAAAATGAGTGCCCTGACCCAGTAGCTCAGTTGGTTAGAGCGTGGTCCCAATATGCCAAGGTTGTGGGTTCAATATCCCATCAAAGCACATACAACCAATGAAGGCATAAATAAGTGATACAACAAATCAACGTTTTTCCCTCTCTCTTCCTCTCTCTCAAATCAATCAATAATTTTTTTTAAATGAGCAATCACAAATTTTAGTACTTTCTTGCCACTGGAAGAAGACTGAAATGTGATGATCTGCTCCTGGCCTGATTATGAAAATTCAGAGGTGTTTGTGCCTATCAGAAAACAAATCAATTTCAATATTATTGTCATGGCAAGAGGACATTAAGTAAACAACCATTCATAGTTATAGTATTTGTCAAGGCTATTAAACATTTCACAGGCCAGAGCAACAGTTTCTGAAGACCAAGGGTCTTGGGGGATTCCTCTGCTAGAAAAACAAAATCTACAAAGGCAACTTTATGAAATGGAATACTTTCTGCTTTTATGTACCTGAAGGAAGAGAGATTTTCTCTTCTGTTGCTGATGTAATTTTCACTGGCAGTTAGGATGATCTGTTTTTCACACAAAGATTTCCATGGAGACGGGACTTTGCAGAGCTGGAAAGTGTAAATTTCCAATATGTAAGGGAAAGGGCAGGATGGGGTGGTGGTTATTATCAAATGAACATGGGGGCACACAAAAGTCTCCATCTGGACTATGCAGAATTGGAGTCTCTATGACACTAATCCTATCACAAATACACTCCTAGCAGGCTACTGAGCTCATTATATTATAGTAACACTAGAGGCCCGTAACACAAAATTCGTGCACGGGTAGGGTCCCTAGGCCTGGCCAGTGATCTGGGCCGATTGGGGCCTTCCGGCTGCCACCCAGGGCCTTCCTTTGTTCCGCACTGCCCCTTGGTGGTCAGCACACGTCATAGCGAGCAATTGAACTCCCAGTTTCCCAGTCGAACTCCTGCGGGGACACTGCATATTAGCCTTTTATATATATATAGATACTTTTAACTTATTTTTTCATAATCATGCATCTGTGTAGTTTTTTTTAATTATTATTTTTATTTATTTATTTATTTTTAAAAATATA